AAAAAAAAAAAAAAAAAAAATTCACACTGTGATTAACATATGAGGAATCTGCCCTCCTAGGGGTGTCGCAATCACAGGGAAACTGCTAGGAGTGGATTGAATGGATACAGGAAAAAGTTGCCGACGTTGGTCGCGCCTTCCTTTGCCACCCTGCCCTGCCTCCCAAGCCTGGTGTGAGGCAGGGCCGGAAGCGAAGGTGTGGTACTCCGCGGGGCGCTCGGGTGTCCCGGCTCACGGCGATTTACTCCCAGGAGCTCAGCAATTAGGCTGATGAAATGTTTGGATAGCAAGTTGTAGCTTGGCGGACCAAGCCAGGATACGCTATCTGTGTAGGCAGCGGGGGGAGGCCTTTAGCGGGCGGCGGGATCGACCAGCCTTTGCAGTCCAGAGCCCTAGCTTGAGCGCCACCACCTCTACCCCTCGCGCCCCGCCCGCCCAGTCTCGAGGTTGTCCCAGTCCGCCTCTAGGAAGCGCGGGAGGGAGTAGGAGTCCGCCTTTGCCCAGCCTACTTCTGGCAAGCTGGAGTTTCAACCCGAGCTTAGGAATTGGGGCCCCTCCCACCTTCGTTTGCCTCATCGGCTCCGTCTTCCGCCAATTGTGACCCGCAGAACTCGCCGCCCCGACGGCCAGTTGCTGGCTAGAGGCAGCGACCAGGAGTGGCTTGGTTGAATTAGGATCTCCTCGGCCCCTAGCGCTAGGCCTCCTTTTTCCTGGATCCATCCAATCCACTTCTCGCAGTTTCCCATGCACCTCCGCCAGCTCTCCCAGAGATGCCCATGACCTGCTGAGGGAGGCGCCCCCACACCCTCCGTGAGGTGCGGCGGTGGGCCCGGGACGACTGAAGCCACTTAGCAGCTCTTTCGCTCGGGCTGGCTAGGCGGCGGGCAGCGGCGCTCCGCCGCAGTGGCGCACCCTCAGAAGCCGCCGCCCTACAAGCTGCCACCCGACAGCCTGCCCGCTAGCCAGGCAGCCCTTCAGTGGGTCGGTTCCACTCCCGGCTACGTGAGACTCAGGACCTCTAGCCGGCCTGCAGTCCGCAGCTCTGACCGCCCTGTGCCACAGCATGGCCCAGAGAGCGCAGAAGAGGTGCGGAACCACCCACTTGCTGGTCCAGTCGTCCGACGAAGCACTGCCACTCGCCACAGGAAAGGTAACTCCCGCTACCATCTCCCTGACGAAGCTGTGCCTGCGCTTCCAGGGGACGTCCCAATTTTGCCACTGGCTCTGGGAAAGGGTCAGAGACCTGGGCTAATCTGGGACCCTGACAGGGATGGCTGGAGCACGCCAGGGTAGGGGGATGAAAGACGACGTCTGCTTGGCACTACCCATGGCCCGACAGCCGGTTTAAATGGGTCACGAAAACAGCTCACGGATTTAGGGATTTGAGGGGAAAATTTTGATGAGTTTTCCGTGGGGACGATGGTGAAATGAAGAGAGGAGACCGGATGAGGAGCCGAAGGCAGTGCGTGGGGAAGCTGCCATTGGCAGCACTGTTCTCTACACTGCGGGCCCCTACCTAGGGCGGCAGGACACTTCAACGCCACCCTGAGGTGCTCCTTTCCTCCAAGTGCGACATAGGGGCTGAAGGCCACAGGATAAATGCCCTTCTGTTGGCTCAACTCTCGAGTTAGAGAGTGGTAGCCTCCAGTGACAAATACCACGATTTTGTGGAAAGCAAGGCCAAGTTCAAACTGTCTGTATGCAGGAAGATGAAATTTGAATGGGTGGAGAGCAGGGTCAGAGAGTGAATGGGGCGCGGGGGCGGGGGGGGTGCTGTCTTCAAACATCTGCAAAGCGCTCAAGTAGAAAATGATCAGGTTTGTTCTGTGTAGCCCCAGAAAGGAGCATCAGGATGGGTTGGAAATCAGGGTGGAAGTCAACAAGAGGCAGAATTAAGCTTACTACAAGGAAGCACTTTCGAATATTAGAGAGGAGTGCTTTTACTTTGTATTAAGTACTTTACAGAGTACTTTGCATAAACTATTTCACTTAACACTTAAATGATTTTGATCTGTTCAGTGACAAAATGGTCAGGGAAGTAGTGGGATGTGGGTCACTAGAGGCCCTTAAGCAGAAAAGAGGTTTAAGACCCATCTAACTGCTGTATTGTAGGGAATATTCAGACCTCATATGGGGATTTGTACTATGTGACTAATAGGCCTTTCCAAATCCTGAGAATTTGGAATTCTAAATTAAGGGACCAAGGGTGTATTTTTATTTTTTTAAGAGCAGAAATAATCTGAGACCCTGGAGGATCTCTGGTCCACACTCCTCAAGTACTTATTCTGTGATTCCTTTTACGTGTGTTGAAGGCTGAGGCTTGGAAAGAAATTGTCACATTTAGGCAGCTTACAAAAGCACCCTCTCTATGGGTGACTACCAGGTTGGCTGAAATGCACATTTAACTCCACAATAATTGTTCAGCTGGGCACAAGAGAGTTGATTGGTTCAATCTGGGTAGCTGGAGGTACCTTCTTTTGACAAGGAAAGGACCTTCAGGGGGATGGTGAGAGCAGCCTGGTAGTCAAGGACAGGATGTTTGAAATAGAGAAAAATACGCCCCTTGCCTTGTTAAAGGAGACACTGTGCTCATTTAGGCTGCAGCTCTTCCTGATCCTTGGTTATGATGAGGTTGATGACAACTTCTTGCTGATTTGATGGAGTTAAAAGAGGCTGGGACCAAAGAATTGACAGGTTCTGTCACCCACTAGCATTGTGACTTCAGGGAAGTGCTATCACCTCTCTGACCCTCAAGTTCTCCATCTATAATGCCAGGGGGTTGGACTTTAATGGAGTATGTCAAAAGATCCCTTTCAACCTGCAAAAGTAAAAATTAAAACAAGCTAGGTTTTGATGTCTTGCATACTCATATTTGGAGGGGTTGTAGAATCAGAGCTCCATAATGTTATGAAGATGGGCCCCTGCAGGAGAACTGAAATGCCAACCCCTTTTTTATTTGGCTAAAATGTGACTCTAATGTCCATTATTTGAGATAAACTTTAAATGGCTACAGTGTTTCCACACTGCCAAGGTCCCAAAGGATAAAATCTCCGGGACCACTTTGCTGTCATTTGGATTTTACTTTAGCAGTTACATTGGCTTTCTGGTTACTGCCAAGGGAATTGCCTTGACCTGTCGTGAAGAACTACAGGGTATCTGCTGGTGTGGTGCATTTTGCTGAACAGCTGGAGAGAAGAGCAGAGAGGACTGTGTAAAATAAGCTCCTGCCCAGAGAAGATTTTATGTGTGTTGGGGGAAAAGTGGATATAATGACCATATTCCAAGGCAGAAAGACAAAAGTGCTTATGAGGTTCAGAAAAGGCAAAAGCCATGTGGAACAGTAAGACATATTCTGGATTAGAAGTTTGGGAGTCAAGGGTTCTACTTTCAGATGGTCATCTAGGAATGCTCAGCCTGAGCCTGAAACTTTAAGGCCTCCTAATATAAAATGAGTATTTCTGGTTTGAATGAATACTTAAGAGACATTTGTGGTGGGCCTTAAAGGTCTGTAGGACAGGTTTACACTAACATTGTTGGATAGCAGAGGCTGGAGCAGAAGTTTCCTGGGCAAATGAGTAACATATGTGCCTTTGTGGAGGCAAGGAGATGCTGGATATGCAGGGGACCACTAATGGCCAGTGTGCCTGGTGATCCAGAAAGGGGAAATAGAGGTTAAGATTGCAAAGGGAGATCTTGAACACCAGGCCCAGGCATTCTGGACTTGCTCCTCAAAAGGGAATAGCAACCATGTCTAGTTTGTGAGCCAGGGAGTGCTGATGGGCAAATAGCCATAACATGGAGTAGAGCCTCCTATAATGAATGATGCCTTACCCAATTTCCATTCTCCTCAGGCATTCAAGGAATGGCAGTCATTGCCTCTTGGAAAACTGATGGTTGATGGACAGAGGGTATAGTGAGAGATGCAGGGAAGGCAAGGGAAGAGAAAGCCTTCTTTTGGATCATGTGACTTCATGATGAACCCCATTCAGACCAAGAGTTTGAGACTACCACAGGGACCAAGAGTAGATCTAGATTTCTTAGGTGGAGCTGGTGATATTGGAGAATCCCAGCCAATCCTACTTCAGAGATGGAAAGAACTTTGACCTGGGAGTCAGGAAACTCTGGTTCTCAGGTCCCCTTCCCTCTCTGAGCCTCAGTTTCTGTCTACCTGTATGGGATTGGGAGAAATTGACTTAGATGATTTATCAGGCTTTTTATAGCTCTAAAGATATTGGAAACCATTATACAATTTGGATCCTCCATGTACTATCTATTTTGGATCAAGAGGCTTTGTCCAGAATTAAACTAATAAGGCTGGGAACTGTTTTGAACTCAGGGCTTAAGAAAACACTGTTGTACTGGAAGGTGGGAGTAGGTGGAGGGAGGACAGGACCAGAGGTAGTGCATACAGTTCTCCCTGATTTGTAGTTTCCGGAACAGTAGCCTTGTGTTGCTAGGTGTTGTTGCCTTTGGAAAATGATTTCCCTCCCTCCCAGGGTGAATAATTTCTTTGGTAGAGAAAGATCAGCAGGAGTGTCAATGTACTGAATTATTTGGATATTTTCTTTGTCCAACCTCCTTTTTCCTCTCTCCTTTACTTTTGTCCCCCACCAACATTTCTCTCTCAGATTTCCAGTGAACACTGCTCCACTCAGAACATGTAGCGCATGGAGGCTTTTCTTCTCTTTCTACCTGGAAAGGGTAGCTCCTGGGCTCTTTCCCTTGTGTCTATCAAGTGAACTCCAAAGCCACTTTCATCTTCCCTTTCTAGCACAGAATGTACACTATTTCATCCCGAGTTTACTTAGCTGTGAATCTTTATAATCAACAGTAATAATGTCTTTTATTGTTGCTTATTATGTTTTTGAAAATAAGAAATACGCATCAAAAACCAAGATGAATAAATGGATAAACTGATGAATAAATAAATAAATGATTATAAATGATAAAAGAATAAATAATCAAAGAATGAGAAATAGAAAATAAAAACATAGAGAAAAATAAGTAATATACAATCGTGTGGTAAATTATCCAAACTATACAGAAGTATAATAAAATAAAAAGGAAAAGTTCCTTTCATTCTTGTTCTTATTCCAAATTTCCCTCCCCAGAGACAACTATAGTTCATAGTTTTCTGTATATTCTTCTGGTCCTTTTACTTTGTGTGTCCAGAAATACATACATACATATACACCTGATAGTTTTATTTTTAAATTTAATGGATTCCACTTATACATTTGATTTTGCATTTGCATTTTTTAACTTCACAATATATTTTGGATATCTCTTCATGTTGGCATACAGATCTACCTCATTTTTAAAAACAACTGCATAATGCATTTAAACTTTCCTTCTTGATGAGCATTTAGGTGGCTGATGGGTACCTCTTTGGCTATTATCTATGAGCATGTGAGTACATACATATTTCTGTAGAGTAGATTCCTATAAATGAAATAATTGTGCCAAAGGGGTTATGCTTTAAAATTCCAGTCCCCCGACATTTTATTACGGACATTTACAAACATACAGAAAAGTCTAAAGAATTGTATAGTGAACTTTCATATATGTACTACCTAGATTCCACTATTAATACCGAACTTTATTTGCTTTATCACATATCCATCTATCCATGCCTTTATATATTCATCAAGCCATCTTTTAACTGTGTACATATTATGAATGAAACGTGGCATTTGTAGTCATTTGAATTTTCTTTACTACTATGGAGGTTGAATAAGGAAAATATGCTTATTGGCCATTTATATTTCTTTTTTGGCTGAAAATTCTCTCTTCATATTCTATGTCTATTTGTCTAGCTTGTTTGTGTTTTGCCTATAGATCTGTGGAAGCTCTTTCATTTGTAGTAGGTGATGGCAATATTGCAGAAAATATGTTTTCCAAAACACTATTATTGCTTATTGAAACCTCTGAAAATCACTCCTTTTCTACACTCTTCACATCTTCTACTTCTTGGTCCCAGTATTCCTCACCTGGACAAGTACCACAGTGATCTTTTAAAAACAAATCAGATGTTGACACTCCCCCACTTAAAGCCTTTCAATGGCCCTGCATTGCATACAGCAGGGGTCCCCAACCCCTGGACCATGGAGCAGTACACATTTGTGGCCTGTTAGGTCCCAGAGAGGTGAG